AAAAAGAATGCTTTAAGCTAGAATAAAATGTATTTTTTTGTTTAAAAGTAGAGGCTCTGATCTTTATTTTGGTGTATTGCATATTCAAATATTCATACAGCAAAATATACTGGAGGCCATCAAATTTGAGTGAAAATCACTGGCGGTGGCTGGCAACTTTTTTCAAAAATGCTGGCGGGGAAAGAGTTAATAAGCCATAATATGCATTAATATGCATTTAGTATCATAATCATGTATTGGCACCGTCACTCAAAATTTTGGGGGCAGATTTTATTTTTTTACTTTTATTCTGCATGGATGCATTAAATTGATCAAAAGCTACACTAAAGACTTTGCCATCACAGGAATAATTTAATTTACATTAAAAATGCCCGTGCTTTAGATCCCAACATGTAAAGCACACCTAAATGATCTTGTTCAACATGCGACCTTGAATCATCACTTTTCACATCATTCACTTACAATCAACACTGCACTTTGTACTCTTCTATGTGGACATATGCAACATTCACCCTCATTATTTTTTTATGGACTATTTCTGTCCCTTACAGAGTAACGCTTCCCTGAAAAGCAGTGGCTGCGACATTCATATATGTACATTGAGATGAAAACTGTCCATACTTGGAATTTCTTTTGACAATGAAGGTCCTCGTCATGCATTGGCTTGTAGTCAAGCTATGAAGCCATCTTAAAGTTCCTCCATTTCAGATGAAGCGAATCAATTAGTTCTGTTTGTTAAGAGCTGATCTGGAAGATATTAGGATCATTGCATGTTTGGATAAGCCATGGCAAATGTCGTGCTAGTAATCCAGAGTCATAAGCCAGAACCTGCAAAGGAACTTTGCACTTTCAGAGTTCTCTCCTGATTTGTTAAGCTTATTCTGAGGGTTGTCTTTTGGCATCTTTAGCTAGTATAACGAAAACATCTGCTTCAGCCCTCTTGGTCCCTTACAGAAGCTCTTGGTTGTGAGATTTTTGCTGCATCTGTCATTAAGCACTGGATGATCTGCCAGAAGAGACATCTTTCACAGTTTGAATTCAGTCAGTAGTCATCATCTCTGGATGATTGCCTCCCCTTTGCACCCATTCCAATTTACCGTTCTGATTTTATATTTGAGCATGTTGAGTAGTAGGGGATTTGGATCGGAAAGGGCCTCAAGCTGGGATTCAAACTCTGATCAGGTGGCCACATGGCTATCAGCTCTTACATTTGACTTCTTTTTAAAATCTTTATAATGCAACATGCATATAATCCATAAGGCTAACGACACCTTGATGTATTATTTTTTTTTTTTTTTTTTTTTTGTGCTAGTATTTATTATGCATTGTTTGTATTTCACTTTGAAATAGTTCCAGCATTAAGTAGATTCTGGCTAAAGATGGAAATTCTGTTTGGATAACAAAGTGTAGATTCTAGTAAGCTTTGGGTTTCACTTTTACTCCACAGTTTCAGTTTTTAAGTTCCCCTCAAAATTCCTTTGTTCTGTTTTAGGAAAAAAATAAAAAGAACATCAGTGTTTTCAAAGTAAGATGATCTGATCTTATGGAACGGAAAATAATAATTGTGCAGACAAGACATGATATTAATCAGAAAGGACAAAGAGAAATGGTCAAAGAAACTTAATTTCCAGTAACTCAGACATTGCACATACCAACTTGAAAACGAATGCAGACAAGTCATTCTAAATGATAAAAGCATGTCCTTGAAAAGCAGCTGAATTATAGTCCTTAGAAATACTGGTCACACTGTGAAATTGGACTTCATCCATGTTTTTATTTGTGAAAGGGCATTTGTCTGCAGACTCAGAAGGAGCTTCTGACTATTAGGCCCTACGGCAACAGCAGTCAGTGATGTGAATTAACACTCACCAAGCATGTAAAACCAAAATAATTTTTGTTTTGTTTTGTTTTACTTGGGTTACAGGGTTGTGCTTAACAAATGCAGTCAACACTACAGTTTGTGTAAAAATTGGAAATGTAATATTTAATTAGTATTTAATATTTAATTATTTTATCATTTGTAATATGTTTATTATAATATGTAATTGTAATATGTTTATTAATCACTTGTCATCCTGCCATGTCATAGTGTCCAAACGATGTTACTTCATAAGTATCTAAATTTTAAGGAATATTACTTTTTTAATGTGTTAACATGATTGTGTACAAAATGTATTCTAAAACTAGTTTATTTAGACATCTAATTGAACTGCAAAGCGTGTACTCATGGTGTTAATTTTCTTAAGCTGAATAATGTCATTTTCTCTGTCTCAAGCAGTCAAGCAGACAGAGAAATGAAGAGACATGTCTGACTGATTTTAGAAAGAAATGCCAAAAGTTGCGGTGTGGGTGTTGTACTTTGCTGTGTAGTACGAGGACACGCTTCACAGCAAAACAAGATGAACCTAAACACAAATTGACGACAAACTGGCTAAATTAACAAGAGGCTGAGTGAATGATTGTCTGAGTTTGAGCTTCGAAGAGGAAATGGCTTTAGTCTATTGCGATTTTTGCAGGCTCCGGCATCTCTGTGGACACCATACTGCTGCTCTAATAATGAATTTAGTTATTCAATCATCATTAGTCTTAGTGCTGTTGTTTTTCCCTACATGTGTCGGTTTTAATAACGATAATGAAAAGGCTTCCATGGGGAAAAAATTGATGCAGTTTGTGTAATGTGTCATGGCATGCAACTAAAAGTGTAAGAGTTTTTACAGTCCGCATTATTCTTCAAAATGATTATGCAGTAAAAGTCCATTCAGGAGAGAGATCAGTACCTCAGCTGTTTTGTAACTCGTTTTTGTTTGATTATCTCTCTTTGCTCGATTTAACCTGTGCTTTGCTGTAGTGCCAAATGGACCAATTTCAACCATGTGCAATTCTCTCTCTAGACACAGCGAGTGAATTCTCCTCTCCAGAAGTCCAGAGCAGCCGGTTACAGAGAGGTCTCGATTCCCATAGGGAAGATGTTTGAAGACCCTGTGAAGAGACATCCCTAGTTCATTATGTAACACGAGTATCAGTTTTGAGGTTTTTCTGAGCTAAATGTGTGGTCTAAATGTCTGATCCAGTTTCCCACATATTATGTACAGTAGTTTTTTTTTTTTATCATTTCAGTATTATGTTTTCTCCAATAAAACAGAAAAAACAACTTATGGAATTTATGTAATCCATTCAGAATTTCATATGGAACTTCTTATACAGGTGCATCTCAATAAATTAGAATGTCGTGGAAAAGTTCATTTATTTCAGTAATTCAACTCAAATTGTGAAACTCGTGTATTAAATAAATTCAATGCACACAGACTGAAGTAGTTTAAGTCTTTGGTTCTTTTAATTGTGATGATTTTGGCTCACATTTAACAAAAACCCACCAACTCACTATCTCAACAAATTAGAATACTCCATAAGACCAATAAAAAAAA